ATAACGGACCCGTTTTTTTCAAATCCGTATGACTATGTCTAATTTTTGAGCCCGGCCCGTGAAGTCCGCGGACTTAGCGGATTTAATCCGCGGGCTCGCGGGCTAGTCCGCGGACTTCACTAATTAATATTTTTAAATATTATGATTTTAATATTAAGTTGTGTATTTAATTTTTTAAATTATTATGACATTAAAATTATGTTTAGTTGGTATGTATTTGTCATTTGAATTATTTTTATGATATTTTGATGCTTTTATTATTGAAAGTTTGGTACTATTATTTAAGTATTTATAATTATTTTTATTTTAATATTTTAATATTTAGTATTTTAAACCATTTTAACTATTGATATATTTTAGTATGATAAAATTTAGCTTATAAATAAAAAATATTTTTTTTCTTCTAATTTTATGTATTTTTATTTTTAAAAATTTATTTTTTTGAACGATTATTTAGGCCCGCGGACCGATCCGTTATCCATATATTCAATTTCCATAATAATAGTTTCCATGCACATACCAAATTAGAACCACACAGTAATACCTAAAAGGCTAGAATGAATATAAATAAATAAGATTAAAGGTTTTAATATATTTTTTGTTTTTATAAAATTTCGGTCAGAATATTTTCTCCGTTTCTCATATCTAACGTTTAAATTAAGTGTTTTGAACCTTACAAGATGAGTAAATTTTTATTTTAATCTTTGTAAAAATTTTATCTTTGATTTTCATTCCTCTAAAATATTGACTTATTGCTTTGTCCCTAGTACTCATTTTAAATTATAAAATAAAGAAATAACACTTATTTTAAAAATCTAGATGTCTTTTTTTACGAATATTATGTTATATGATACTAAACATTCATGTGTCACTAAACTCCAAGCATGTGGTTCAGCGGTAAGAGTTGATCCATACTTAAGCAAGGTCAGTCGCATTAAATCTTGGAGCTAGCTATCCCACCCTTTGATGTGCCTCATTTAAAATACTAAATATTAAAATAAAAATAATTACAAATACTTAAATAATAGTACCAAACTTTCAATAATAAAAGCATCAAAATGTCATAAAAGTAA